CATCTGCCCCCACCGGGATTCGAGCCCGGGACCTCTCGAGTCGGCGACACCATGAAACCCGGCGTGCAAACCACTCGGCCACGGAGGCCGTCAACAAAGTGGTGTACGTGAAAACCTAAGAAACAAATAGTGATTGCCTGGAAGAAATCGCATATGGCATCACCTGTACTAAATGTTTTTGGTGCTTAATGTTCAATGTTTTTCGTGGTGTTTAATAAAGAGTTTTTGTATTGTATTGTAATTGTGGCAAAAATATTAATTTGCTGCTGTGATGTTATGAAGACTAAAATCCGTACATAGGCGAAGCGAATTTTTTCTCACACCAACAAAAAATGAATTCAATATCTCTTATCTATTAGACAAGTCCGTCCGTCCGTCTGTGGTGCTGTTTCACCGGCCAAACCGTAAGAGATAGATAAATAGAATATTTAAGTTATAAGTTAAGAATAGTCTGATAAGACTACAAACCGGATTTGAGTAACGTAGCACTTCCGGTTTTCGAGAAATCACGAATTTCAAACGAAACCACACAAAATCTCCGAAGTTCTCGATTAATTAAATACATTATTTTTTTTTAAATCAAGTTTCGGTGAACATTTGGTTCACTAGTTTGCTAGTTTTTTTCTATTCAACATCAACTTCCTGAATGATTTCAAATCCTAAACAATTTCACCGCTTTCAAATCCCTGGCGCATACAATCAAATTCATAAATTATAATTAGTTACAAATACAAATTCAATGAATATTCGCAATAAAGAGCTGTCTGCTGGAGAACTGCTATTGATGACTCAGTTGCTGACTAATTGTTATGCTTTCGTCGAAACCGACACACATACATCTGCGACTTCTTAAATTTGAACCCAATTATACAGAAAAAATGTTACCTAATTTATCTATACTTATAATAAATCTGTAGAGATGTCAATTCTGTACATGAAATATATTTTTAAAATAACTATCAGGGGGTGATTAGTGATCGATACTGATACCAAAAATGCAACCAGTAAAATTTTTGTCTGTCTGTCTGTCTGTCTGTGTGTATGTTTTTTTGTTATAGAAACAAAAACTACTCGACGGATTTTAACGAAACTTAATACAATTATTCTTCATACTCCTGGGCAGGTTATAGTATATTTTTCATCACGCCACAATCAATAGCAGCAGAGTAGTGAAGGGAAATGTTGGGAAAACGGGAGAAGTTACTCCATTTTTTAAGCTTCCGTCGCGTGTGCAGCCTTAATGGTTAAAGTTACATAGAAATCATGTATGACGGAAATATTCTACATAAAATTGTCTAAAAAATATCCCGCAACAGCATATGTCTATCTTTTATGGTTGACTCACAATAACACGTGTAATTATATAAATAAAGTCATTGTTTATAGCACAAGCCTGAGAACAAAAACTATAGTTTACACTACAGCTCTACACCGAAGCGAAGCGAGGGCGGGCTACTAGTCTAACATATACCTACTTATAGCGAAAACATTTATCGATTTTAGCAAAATTGAATAGCGTAGCCTTTTAACCCGTGCCATAACTACTGTCCATTTCCTTGTGAATATAACTAAACAAATGTCATCATCATCATCATCAGCCTATTAATGTCCCCACTGCTGGGGCACAGGCCTTCCCTATGGATGGAATAGGGAGATTGGGCCATGACCCACCGCGCGGGCCCAGTGCAGATTGGTGGGTGTTAACGACTGCAGATGCAGCCGGGACCAACGGCTTAACGTGCCTTCCGAAGCACGGAGGAGCTCGAGATAGTAAATTTTTGGTCACCCATCCGATGACCGACCACTGCGAAAGTTGCTTAACTTCAACGATCGCAGCCGAACGCGCTAACCACTTGCGTTATCGAGCTCCTCGAAACAAATGTATGGAAGTTCAAAGTGTAAGGCTGAATTTAAGCTAAGCTAACGAATTTACTTTCAACATGGTGTCAAGATACACAGTGATGTCGATTCTGGCATGATTCTCTAAACTTAAAACTAAATTTAACATCGGGTTCTCCTTTTCATTCTGTATAAAGAACGACAAGGATAGACTGTTGTCAAATTTAAGTTTAGATTTAGAGAATCATGTCAGAATCGACACCAGTATGTTCTAACCATAAAAAAACTGTACAAAACTATATAGAAATGAATGTCATCCATTCACTAGAAATCTTTTAGCTTTAAATCATCGAATGAGAGCAGATCCCAATATTGCAGTTGTTATTAATGCTAAACAGTTTATGATAATAACAATCACTGAAAACACTTCCAGGGGGAAACCCCTAAATTATAAAAAGCGTGAATAATTAAACATCACAAATTGTTATAAACTAATGAAAAATTTACTCTGTTAGGGTTCCGAAAGAGGAGCTCGATGGCGCAAGTGGTTAGCGCGTTCGGCTGCGATCGTTGAAGTTAAGCAACTTTCGCAGTGGTCGGTCATTGGATGGGTGACCAAAAATTTACTATCGAGTTCCTCCGTGCTTCGGAAGGCACGTTAAGCCGTTGGTCCCGGCTGCATCTGCAGTCGTTAGCACCCGCCAATCCGCACTGGGCCCGCGTGGTGGGTCATGGCCCAATCTCCCTATTCCATCCATAGGGAAGGCCTGTGCCCCAGCAGTGGGGACATTAATAGGCTGATGATGATGATGAGGGTTCCGAAAAATCATTTGTCTGTTTTCGCCACAACTTATCAAAATACATAATGAATCAAACATATTACAATTTTAATAAAATTCCAATTGAAATTAAGAAAAGCTGAAAGCCCCAATATATTTCGCTCTGAATTAAAGAATATGTTACTTAAAAAAGCATATTATAGTACTAGTGGCCCGCCCTCGCTTCGCTTCGGTGTAGAGCTGTATTGTAAACTATATTTTGTTCTCAGGCTTGTGCTATAAACAATGACTTTATTTATATAATAACACGTGTTATAGTGAGTCAACCATAAAAGATACACATATGCTGTTGCGGGATATTTTTTAGACAATTTTATGTAGAATATTTCCGTCATACATGATTTCTATGTAACTTTAACCATTAAGGCTGCACACGCGACGGAAGCTTAAAAAATGGAGTAACTTCTCCCGTTTTCCCAACATTTCCCTTCACTACTCTGCCGCTATTGATTGTAGCGTGATGAAAATTATACTATAACCTGCCCAGGAGTATGAAGAATAATTGTACCAAGTTTCGTTAAAATCCGTCGAGTAGTTTTTGTTTCTTTAAGGAACATACACACAGACGGACAGACAGACAGACAGACAAAAATTTTACTGATTGCATTTTTGGCATCAGTATCGATCACTAATCACCCCCTGATAGTTATTTTGAAAATATATTTCATGTACAGAATTGACCTCTCTACAGATTTATTCTAAGTATAGATTAAGGATTTTTTAGAGGACAAATCTGTGTTAATGGATGTACACTATGTGTTTATTTTAATTTGCATGCCTTGTGGTGAAATATGGAATGAACGTACGTATTGTAATTCAACACCTTTGTATCACCTGTATTTGCAAATAAATAAATTGATTGATTGATTGATTGACATTCTTAGCTAGTTTAGATTTTGAGATAGACCCTGTTACAAAAATATCTGAAAATGTCAACTTTGACGGCCCTGTTCACTTATTATTGAAAATAATAAAAAGTTTAATGATATCTTAGTCAACAAGCTTTAGACTTAAAAACTCTGGGGTTAAAAAAGAAAAAAATCTCGGCTTCTTTTCATGTATAAAGGACCCCCATAAAAATAATTAAATTAAATTTTAACTAAATATTCGGCTTTAATCAAGCGTTCTAGATCATCAGCCTATTAATTGTCCCCACTGCTGGGGCACAGGCCTTCCCTATGGATGGAATAGGGAGATTGGGCCATGACCCACCACGCGGGCCCAGTGCGGGTTGGTGGGTGCTAACGACTGCAGGTGCAGCCGGGACCAACGGCTTAACGTGCCTTCCGAAGCACGGAGGAGCACGAGATAGTAAATTTTCGGTCACCCATCCAATGACCGACCACTGCGAAAGTTGCTTAAATTCAACGATCGCAGCAGAACACGCTAGCCACTTGCGCCATCGAGCTAATTAAAGCGTTCTACATAAAAAACCAAAATTTCAATTCTGTACCTTTAGTACGAGTTTGAGCTCACGAAAACTATCATAGTTTCCGTAATTGTAAATTATGTTTCTATGTCCATTTTATTGATAAGTAACCAAATGTACTTGAAATTTAAGAAGACGCATATGATTTAATGAGAGAATTTAAACACTGTTTATTTGTATTGAAACGAAAACAATAAAATCTACGAGTTCGAGCGAGCTCACGAAAACTATCATAGTTTTCGTACTTATGGTACTGTAACTCATTTCGTTTACGATCTCGAGACCGGTGTGACATACGGTCCCGTTTTCCGCTTTGGATACGGATCCCTAAAAATGCGGTGTTCACGTTCAATACACAATTACGTGTCGGCAATATACAAGTTCTGTAAACAGGCATGACAACTAAGTTAAGTAAGTACCATAAAGTGTTTACATAGCACTTAAACACATCTCCATAAATAACAACACGATTTCTACGAATTGTCACATAACGTAAATTTGAAACGGTCTATCTAAACAAAATATCTCACGAAGTGTCACAGAAAATATTGATTACGTGCCTGTATGCTGCTGTAACGGCACAAAAATATGTTAAGTGCATTATTTATATCACAACATATACCTAGCACTTTTTAAACACAAATTGTAAATTCACTACCCACATAAATGAAATAAAAACTTTGAGGGTGCTTTAACACCAAATTTGGAACAGTTCAAAGTGTCTGTCGAAATAAGAAAAAAATACATAATCAATTCACTCTAATAGAATATTTCCACACCAAAGACTCGCCATTTCGTTGGCCTGGCCTGACTTGTACAAGAATATTAAGCTTGCCGATACAAAAAAGGGAAAAATTAATTCTTCTATAAATTAAATACACCGAATTAATTACCTGTTAAGCCACTGTTCTATTTCAGGCGGTCCTTGAACGGTGTTGGTGCCTTGCATATTCCCATTGAGGTTCCGCGACCAACTATTGTCTTGCATGGGCCGGCCACCATCGGGGCAAAATTTCTTCGCGCACTGCGGCGGTGGCGGCTCGTACCTCCGTTTCCTCTGCAAGCGAAGCAAACTTACAGAAACCATTCTTTCTATAGGCGTTCCACTGTGCACATTAGTACTAAAGTACATCGAATGATCGAGGTACCCAATACCACGCTATGTACGAAAGAATGTCTTGAGGTTTCAGTTGCATGTAGCATTTATGGCCACAGTGTATTTTTTTTTCCAAAACTACCTATTCACGTTTAGCGTGTTTATGGGTTGCACTGAATGTATCACATACTTAATATAAGTTTTTTTTTGCTATGCGACGTGACCATACGCAATAATGTGCTAAATATCACCTAACAACATCGAAATTGCAAGATAGACTAAATGGCTCCGATCAAAGAGGTCAAGTTTTATTAGCAAAATTTGATCTGAACACGTATCTACAAACTTATTTAGATCATCTATCAATAAAACATGAACTGCACTTATTACTAAGTAATCAGAAATCAATATATCTTTATTCAAAATGGATGTATAGTACAACTCTTGAATCGCCCAAAAATTTTTTTCCCTCCCACTTACATTCAATCGTTATTGGACATATTTTTTAGCTGCGGAGAAAAACTCCACAAAATTTAAAGTTTAATGTAACAACATTTACAAATCATTGTGTTCAAATTCAAATTCAATATCGTTTATTCAGTTTAGGCTGTTACAAGCACTTGTGAATGTCGAAAAGCTACGCCATCGGTTCGCAAATCTACGGCGGGAGACCTTGTACTGAGAAGAACCGGCAAGAAACTCAGCAAGGGCTGTTTTTTTCTCCCTGTATTATATGTTATATGTTGTTATAACGTCACTACAATCATGATTTATTTTATATAGAAAATCTGTTGGAATGATTGGAACTACTTTGTAATAAGCTTTTTAAATAAGTGCCTTTTTATACTATTTTTGAATTAAACTTGGATATTGCTTGGGACTTATTGTATAAGCGAACACAAAGACCTTTAAATGAATTATTGATTTTGTGAAGTCTAGTAGCAAGTAAAGTTATTTTGTTGTTTCTTGTATTGTGTGATCACAAAGTGTGTTTTAAGAAACCAATTAATATTTTTTCTTGCAAGTAATAAAGTTTCGTATAATTATGCATCGTGACGAGACTGTTCATTATGCTAATTTCTTAAAACTTATCCGTGAAGGATTCTCTAACTTTAAGATTATAAATTGATCGAATAGCTCTCTTCTGCAGCACAAAAATAGTTTGAATGTCGTCGGCGTTTCCCCTCAATAAAATTCCGTAAGGATAAGGTTCCCCTAATATCGACGTGACCAATTTAAATTCTTTCGAGAATTTTCTACGGCACAGTAATAGAATCAATTGTCAATGCTCACCCATAGTCTCTCAGGTTCTGGTTCAGGGTCATCTTCATCGTCATCCTAAAACAAAATTTTCAATTATTGACGTCAATTTATTGATCTGTCTTATTTAACAACAATCTAAATATTGACCGAACAGTACCTCATGTGAGGATAAGCATGTGCACCATGATTCTTCGTCCACATCATCATCTGAGTCTTCTTCCCCTTCGCAGTACTGCATGTAAGTCTGAGAAACGATAACATAACATGAAACACTCCCAGTATCATAGGGGCCATCCATAAATTACGTCACACGTTAAGGGGGAGGGAGGGGGTCGTCGAAGTGTGACATCGTGTCACAAAGGGGTGAGAGGGGTCCTAAATTTTGTGACGTCACATTTCAAAATCTATTGTAATCTAAGTGTTGAAACTATTACTTTATGAAAACATTAATAACCCAAACGAGAACGTTTTATTTAATCGTTTTTTGTTTTGTTATTTGTTTGATTTGATGTTAATATTATTAAAAAACAATTTAAATGGCAATAAAACTGATTTCAGAACCGCTGTTTTCATTCAATAATTTCTAAATGTAAATTTGCATAATATGTGACGTCACACTAAGGAAGGAGAGTGTCTCACAAATGTGACCAGCTGTGACAAGGACGGGGGGAGGGGCAAAAAATCATGAAATTCGTGTGACGTAATTTATGGATGACCCCATATTGTTAAAATTAAATAAGAAAATTCATGAAAAATTCTCACCGATGATTTAGAACTACCAGGTTCACTCTTTCTGCTATTATCACTCAGGCCAAGTAGCTTCTCAGCATTAGATGTCGATGGAACACTAAAATCTTTCGTACTGTCCGAATTGGAACTGCTGTTGGAAGCGTTTGAGCTGGTCCTCCCGGGCGCAGATTCCACACCGCAGGCGCTGGCCTCCGTTTCTAATTCAGGCTCTGCTTTATACATTTTTCCTTTTGGAAAGTCTTTCTTCTCATGAGTATTGCTATTCAGAAGTTTCTGCATGAAATCCACTTTAGGCTCTTCAACAAATGGTTTTCGTGACTGAATCATATTTTTTATAGTAGCATTGCTGTCTTCGCAGGATTGGCCCTTGCTGCAGCCTGGCAAACTGTAGTCATTGGCTATAGAGAATGTAGATATGGTTTCCGAACTGGATGCTAGACTGGAATTGACACTCAAGTTGCCCGAGAAGTGAGCGGGCGCTGGGCTCTTACCCTCCACTATCATACTCGTGCAGTGATTAATGATACGATTTTCCTCTTCAAAATCCTCGCGTTCAATATCATCTATAATCTGTCTATCATTACCTTGAGTGTTAATTTCTTTGTCTACCATATTGGTGCTGCTATCAGTCTTTTTCTCTGCATTGCTGTTGAAGGGGACTTGGTTAGTCCCCTCATATACGTCACACTTGGAATGTGAACATGATGGATCCATTCTAGAGTGTGTTGTGTACTGTAACATTAACATTCTGTTAATATTTAGCATGATTATTTCAAACACAACCCCACAGGGTGATTTTGATACAGTGCAAACTTTTATATAGCACAATGGAGTTAATATTTCAAATGAATACATTATACTTACAACTATTTGTCGCAAATTTTGTGGTGCATGGACAGGAGATCTAAAAAAATATAAATCAGTAATACTTTTATCTTGAACGACAGTATCTCTAATCTCCAAATTACAAAAGGTGTCTAGTAGATTAACTACCTATTCTTTAATTGTTTATTAAAATGTAGTCACTGGATTACCTCTAACTGGCAGAATCTTGTTGCTACGAAACTCATTAGGCATAAAGTTTTTTGAACAAATATTTGTATAGCATATTTTCTTAATTAAAATTATTGTTTGACTGAATGTTTATATGTCCAAATTCAAAATGGCATACTTTTAGGATGGCAGAATTTGATAAGGTATAATTGCTTTTGGCAGATTTTATTCTGCATAATTTTGTTATGCATGATTGGTGTTTGAGGTCAGTGGGTTAGGTTAGGTAAGGTTAGTGTGGTGACCTAAACTTAGCTTTGACCTAAGCCAGTGTGCCGCGGTAGCAAGCAGCAAATCGTCATCCACAATAGATATCGGTTTAATAAACAAGGAAAAGTTGAACATTTATATGCCAAAAGACAATTCTGATTTTAAATGTTCAGCAATATGATGGTTTTGCTTTTTAATTATTTTGGATATTAAAGTTACGACTAAAGATGACTCTGGCTTACGAGTTTTGGCTTATGAGTTCTGAATCTCTGATAAATGAGTCAATGCCAAATCTTTTTTTGCAAACGAAGTTGATGTCATCCTCTGATATGCATCGTAACATTAGGACATAATATAGTAATACTAAGTTCTGCATTAAAAGGTAAACCCATAATCAATAATAGTTTATAAATAAAAAGATAAGATCAGTTTTGTGAAGTATTGTAAAGTATAAAAAAACAACATTGTTTCACTAAAGAAAATTTTACTACAGAGAATTCCAATGAGTCCCAGCATTACAATATAAATATAGAAATAGATCAAATACATAATAAAATGATACATAGATAAGTACATATATTTTGTAGGAATATACAAAAAAACGAAGACTTGGTTTAAATACTGGATTTCATCACACAATCAGACAAACATTTGCCCCACTGAGATTTGAAGGACCTCTGAGAAGGAGTCCCCTCGAAGACTGATATACATACCACTGCACAACAGAGTTCATTGTATATTGTATTTGTTACCAATACAAGCATTAATCTTTTATTTCAAACGTTTTTCTTTAAACTTCTTTGAAATGTGTAAATTTTAAATATTTTAATTGATTGTAGGTAGGTAAAGGTAGGTAAGTAAGCATTTCATAATTTTATAATCTATCCATAAGTCATAAAATTATATTCCAGAATTAAAAATAGTTACATTTATTTTGAGAAGAAGATCGGAATAGGACTATTGTAGTATCTATATAAAGCAATGTAATATTATGATCCAAATTATAAAGAGTAGATAATAGTGTACTGTGAAAATTTAATTAGACTTAAGTCTATTAAATTTCTCACACTCACAGATAGAATGAATTTAAAGTAACATTGAATTCTTTAATATTTAATGGCATATCTGCCCACTATGATATATTGCTCTGTCATATAAAATTGTGTTTCTAAATCTTCAAACTTCATTTGAAATTAAATCAGTATTATATTCAATAACCACTCGTTATATAAATTAAATCAATTGTATGTTTTATTATAAAGGTAAATTATTGTATACATGAAATAGTGTTTATTATTAGAAAAATTTTATCTGTATTTATTAAAACAGCTTAAATAATAACAAAATTATATTTCAAACACGGACTCCGAGAACTGTAAGGCTTGTGTTATAGGATTCTGGGGTAATGGATAGAATACATACACTGACATAAATATAAGTACTGACATATTTATATAGAAATACATATAAACACCCAGCAGGCGAGGTCTCATTTAAGCAGTTTACCTAAAGTCAAAATAATACAAAACATAAATTTAAACAACAAATATAAATGCTATGCAGTGAAAACATACCAGACTTGTAGTAAGTGAAAATAATTCTATCCATCAAAATTGAAATTATAGAATAGATTATCCATATTGAAAGCAGACACAATATTTGTTGTTTCAGAAACTACTAAACATCATTAAGAACAATTTAATAACTACCTCTAAAACAACATCATGATTTTTTAAACTTAAATCATGCATCAGTTTGTGTATTAGTTACAGAACTGAGAAGCAATTGAAACTTGAAGAGGAATAACAGGGAATATTATGTCTAAGGTCACTTTACACTAAACAGCTCAGACTGCATCTATGCTAGGTAACACAAATGTCACAATCAAGGCCAACACAATCATATGGACGAAATAAATGTTGTTTAAAAACAAATTAACCACTATTCGCGATACAGTTAACCAAACACGATTTAAAAAAGTACAAAACAACAACTTACGTTTAAATAACCTACGAAACACATAAACGTGTTTAACCAAGACAATTATTTCTCTAGCAGCAATTCAGGAAGTTAGCACATGTGTCGTGCTCCGTAGTTTTAAAAAAACAGCTTCGACAAAGGACCCTTGAGCGTGAGAAACTTTTTTTTTGTACTACGCACAAGGATTCACTTGTATTTGCCCTAACAAAAAAAAAATAATACGTTTTGTGGCGAAATTCACTGACCTTTGCATTCTACTAATTGCCTACCGACCAGGCTAGCTCAATGCTGACCTATATACACTAGGTCTAGCTGGATGCGCAGAAACGCATCCCAGCTGAACAGCTCTGTCTGGGATTTTGAAAGAATAGATGTGAGAAAACATAAAAAAGTGGGATGAGAAACTAATTACGTACATACACAACGTCTTCAATACACAAAAATAAAGTCTCACCTGTATATTAACTAGACCGTCAACAACCACATTAGTTATATAAAATAAAAGTTATTATTGCGGGCACATTATTAATAATTAAATTGCTAAAATAGGCAATAATATTCTGCCTATTTCATCGTCTTCAAACACCGTGGTCGGCCATCAACCATAGAATAGATAGAGGAAGGACATTTCTAATGTTGCTATATGAAAATATTTATGTCGAACATTTTAGTCTTTGATCTAAGGGAAAAAACACACTACAAAAAAGCTTAGATTTAATTTCTATGAAAGTTACCTTCTTGCATTCCTTCAACATTATTTTTCCATTTTATCATGATTTTACTCGTTTTGAAAAAAGACCGTCTTAATTTTTCGAAAATGTCTACACTTGGTCTACAATCACTTACTCGTAGTCACGCACGTCCAAAACCGACTGAAGAAAGAAAATGAGGGATTTCTGTAATGACGGTTACCAGGTGGCAGTACTGAGACGAAAGCTCTACTCATCCGTTAAATCTCATATGTTCTCATATATGTCTATGGAGTTCGCGCCAAAAACTTCATACAAAAGACCTCTGGTAACAGTGGTGCCAACTGGTGACATAAATTTTCAAAAACACCCTCATTGCTGGTTTGAGCATATTCGTCATGCTAGCGTACACCAGATCAAATTTTAGGTTGTTACTATGGTTGCTTTCCAATTACAGAGCATAATGCGACTCAGTGCCGCACAATGCCGAATTATGCTGATGCTTAATTGGAACGTGAATTAGTTTTCAAATGCACCAGCAGAGTGCGCTAAGTTCAGTGTTGAAAAAAAAAGTCAATGTTTGTACCTTCATCCATATTTATATTTAATTTTTAACACAGTTTGAGTAAACTTTGATTATTAAAAAAAAACTATGATGAAACGAAAGTTTTAATAATTTTTCAACAATAAATAATATTAATAACGATATCATAATAAATAAAACATTTCGATCAATGCCAACTTACAGAAAAAACACTTGTTAATTTTCTGTCTCCAAGTTGGTACGATTGCACGCATCACACGAAAGCATTACTCACTTTTGAGAGTGCTCAATTGTGCGAAGCATTGCTGTAGTTGGAACACTCAACGTTAAGCATTATGCCGCATAATGCGCTATAATGCTGTAATTGGAAAGCTACCTATAGTAGCGACACACTATCATAGCCGTTTTGACGTTTGTGCATCCATGAAGTTTCATATCCGAAATTTGAAATAAATTCTACATTTAAAAGAAACAATTATTGTTCTTCATTGTCATTAGAGATGCACATTTAGTCATAAAATTTATCGATTCAGTAATTTTAGAGCACGGAATTAAAAAAGTGAATATTGTAATAACCATATAATATTATGGCTACGAAAACCTTTTCAAGTTTAAAACAATTAAATATATTAAATTTTTCAACATAAAAGCACCGGCCACTGGACAGAATCTTTAAGCGAGTTAATTTAATTAATTAATTGTTCTATTGTTAATATCACTACATCATATATATAATAATGTAATTATAGTGTAATTATTCGCCACATAACTCAGAATTTGCATTTATCGAAATTCTTAATGTAAAAACATTAAAGCGATAAGATTGGTGCATTAAGGGTTGCTGACTTATTCACTTCTTTCAATATTGGGAAAATTTTAAAAATGTTTAGTACCAAGAATGTTTATTACCAATGATCGCGCCGAAATTACTTGTTGTAATAAAAACTCCGTGTAGGTTTAGTTTTCTTCTTTTAATGTATAAATTTTACAAAATATAGACTTTGAATAATAATATGGAAAAAACTATGGTGTGTGTATCGAGTCTGTCAGGGTAGTAGTCTTGCGTTCCGCGCGCCCCCTTCCGGCACTTGCTGCGTGACGTCACTGTAGCCAGTGGACAGTGGGCCCGAACAACCAAGAACTAATCAAATGCGAGTCACTCAATTGGTCATTTGATTATAATATAGAAGTTAGTTGTAGGAAGTAATCTCCAATCTCTTGATCTACTGAACCGATTTTGAAAAATGATTTATCAATAGATAGCAACATATGTGAGTTTGTGAGAGTATGACACTATGGCTATATATTAACATGAAAAATGAAAATTTTCACGCACACAAAGTCGCAGGTAGTTGCTCGTTATGGATATAGATTTGTTGTCTAAATAATTTGTTGCTGGCGGTTCACATGCCACTTCGTGAAAAAACCCTTCATCAAACTGGAAAATCTGGAAAATAGCACATACGAATAGCGATGTGAAGTGCTGGCATGACGCTGTTCATTGCTCCTGTCAATAATAAAAATTAAAAGGACTCCTAAAGTCGTTTGTGACATGGGCACCCTGTTCGTTACATATAAAAAAAGCGAGTGTGTTTATGACCACACGATTAAAGTGAAACTTCTTTAGCTTCAATGATCTGAAAATCATAAACTTAACCTGAAAATTTGTTGATAGAAAAGAAACCACCAATCTTCGTCCGGGACCGTTATCCGTTATCACCCACCAATCCGCACTGGATCTATTGTCACCCACCACTCCGCGCTGGGTCCGCTATCACCCTTCAATATAATAAAAATTAAAAGGACTCCTAAAGTCGTTTGTGACATGGACACCCTGTACGTTACATATAAAAAAAGCGAGTGTGTTTATGACCACACGATTAAAGTGAAACTTCTTTAGCTTCAATGATTTGAAAATCATAAACTTAACCTGAGAATTTGTTGATAGAAAAGAAACCACCAATCTTCGTCCGGGTCCGTTATCCGTTATCACCCACCAATCCGCACTGGATCTATTGTCACCCACCACTCCGCGCTGGGTCCGCTATCACCCTCCAATCCGCACTGGGTCCATTGTCACCCACCACTCCGCGCTGGTTCCGTTATCACCCTCCAATCCGCACTGGGTCCATTGTCACCCACCACTCCGCGCTGGGTCCGTTATCACCCACCAATCCGCGCTGGGTCCGTTATCATACACCAATCCGCACTGAGTCCGTTATCACCCACTTAGTACTAGATTCATGTATTTTGTGACAAGTATTGTTCATTGTTTACCGATGACACAAAAACGTTACGTGAATCGTAACACATTCGCCAGTTTACCCCCCAAGTCAAGCGTGCCTAAAGAAGTTTCACTTTAAAAAAAAAGACTGTTTTCCCTAAAAATGAAGCATAAACCTTTGAAATGACTTTAAAAGCTGTTTGTCGATTAAATGGCTCAGAGTTTTTGAAGTTATACTTCTTTAGGCGCGTTATGAAAAAATGATGAGAGTGAAATTTTAAGATGCGCGCGCATCACTGTAACACAAAATTTTAACAGCATGAAGTTGGTCGCTTTAGCGACCAACTTCATGCGTTACTTTTGTGTTTACCGCACATTAAGAAAATCTACCAACAAAATAGAAATAGAATCTCTATTTAGTGGGTGCTAACGACTGCGTTGTGAAGGCCTATCAAAAGTATTTATTAATCTGGAACAACGGAACCAAAGCGCGATTCAGGAGACTACAGCGCCAACTCTTGACCATTGGTGTAGTAGAACCAAAAACCACATCTTTATTTTTTGTAATAAAGTAACAGTTATAGGTATTTATATTTATAATATCAAAAGTATTTATTAATCTGGAACAACGGAACCAAAGCGCGATTCAGGAGACTACAGCGCCATCTCTTGACCATTGGTGTAGTAGAACCAAAAACCACATCTTTATTTTTTGTAATAAAGTTACAGTTATAGGTATTCATATTTATAATATTTATCCACATGTTTCTAGTTTGTATATTCGGAATACGTGTTTGAGTTTCATACAAGTGCAAATCACATAATATGTTCTAATAAATTATATACAGTAGCGATTTTAATTGAATATTTTGATTATTTATTTATTTTTTCAAATTAAAACTGAACTTTATTGACTGTGTCCTTTTCCAGACTTTTTATTAATTTATTGTAATTCATTATTTGCATGCAATTAAAAACTAATTTTAAACGATGCCAAAGAAGGATAACTTCTCACGCGCCTACATAAGTACACGCACCCATTTTTTTATTTTATTCCCATTTTTTTGCAAATCTCGCTATGATTTTCAGTTACAATCAGTGGGCCTGAGATCCACCTAGTCGTTTATATCGCTCTCCCAATGGTATCACATACTAGCTGTCATATACGCCGTCACATTAAATCCAAACAAACATCCTTTCACTACATAGCTTTTGTCTAAAACCTAACCTAATATCATGTGGTTCTCTGGCCCACCAATTTTGGTCAATCATACCTCCGGAGAGCCAGTACATATACAATGACACCGAAAATAAGGAATGATATCGTCATCACGTTCGTTCTAGGTCATCTTCCTAAAGGTTTATGTGGTGGGCCCGAGGTCCACATGCTCACCTAATGCAGTAAATAATAATCTCGAATTGATATGGTGTACGCTAGCACGACGGACACGGTAGGAGCTAGTACCATTATAAAAATAATCCAAAATTTGAGATCGTCGAAATAAAGCATTTATATAAAAGATAAAACTCATTTAATAAAATTTACTAACCACTCCAATAATACAGACATTTTGAAAATAAACAGGTGTAAAATTATAACCGTTACCACTGAGACAGTAAGTCAAAATCTGTTAGCCGCTGTAAGACGAATCCCCTTTTTTTCGTTTTTTTCTTGTCTTTTTCTTTTTCTGTATCCGATTTATCTAATTCAGTCTTTTTAGTTTTCTTAGCCTTAGAAGTTTGTTTAAAATCTGCTTCTTTGATTTTTTGTACTTCACAATCCATATCAAACGGACATTGATCAGCAGGATAAATAGGCATCATTATCACAGGTACATAATTAGATTTATCTCCAGCCTTCTGCAATATAAATGAAAACATTATAAGAAGTAGAACAATAATGAATGAGCGTCCTAATGTAGTAATTAACTATATTATTTTGAAAGTAGTTTGTAAATCAAGCAAATACTTGGTGGAGGTGCATCTAGTATGATTCTCTAATCCATGTCATTCTCTATACATAGGTAAAGATCGATTTTAAATTTAGTTTTAAGTTTAGAGAATCATACCAGAGTCGAGTGCCAAAAATCATGTCTGTTGTATGGGGACCCCTACTATTTATTTTTGTGTTAAATAAACATACAAAATAATAGTTTGTGAATATTTCAAGCGTCTACCTGTCGCCATTATTATTACTATAGAGCACAAAACGACAAAAAAACACTTGTTGTATTATTTGATTGTTGCCCCCCTTAAATATTTATTTTTATTCTGTTTTTATTACCTATCTGTTGTTATAGCGTCAACAGAAATACATCATCTATGAAATTTTCAACTGTTTAGCTATTACGGTTTATGAGATACAGCCTGGTGACAGACAGACAGATAGATACGATAGATAGGACAGCTGTCTTAGTAACAGGGTCCCGTTTTAACCCTTTGAGTACGGAACCCTATAAATAAAGATTGGATTGAATGGACATTTCTATCAATCATACCGAGATCTGGAACAGGGACACACACAGACATTTTAAAGGCTCGCACATACTACAGCCGCAACGGGCCGCAGAGAAAAATTACGCCAAAACGCATTGGAGTCGCGTTTACGCCGCAGCCCGCAACGCAATTTCTTTTTTCAAGCATTCACCAATAAGCCTAGCCCCAAAGTAAGCACTATAAGGCTTGTGTTATGGGAAACTAGGGTAACGGTTAGAATACATAAGTATATTTATATAGAAATACATATTAAACATCCATGTCTGGCGTACAAATGCTTATGTTCATCACACAAACATATGCCCCCACCGGGTTTCGAACCCGGGACCTCTCGAATCGGCAACACCATGAAACCCGGCGTACAAACCACTCCACGGCCACGGAGGTCGTCAAATTGTATCAGTCAGCCATAGGCTGTTCAACGCGATGGATATTACTATTCTTAAGCTACTGTTGTTTGTTATACATCGGGTGAACTCAATCGGCATTACGACAAAGCGTAGACTAAAGTTAAACCAGTGCCCTTAGTACGAACCATTATCGAATTCGAATAGATAAATTCGATCTAGATATTCGTCAAATGTATACTAATTTTTAGTTCTCTTTACGTCCACTGAGTCGCTGCTGTTCAAGTTTCCATACAAAATTTGACTTTGACATTATGCACTCGCATACTACTCGAATTCGATATTAGTTCATGCTAAGGGTAGGTACAGGACTAAAACTGATACTGTCACTTTTGTTAAGACAAAGACAACATTAGTTAAAATTACGTTTAAATCAAGACTAACTTTAGTCCGCGTTTAGAAGGAAGGGGGCTTAAATCGGTTATGTAAATGTTTTCCAATTACAGCACTAGAGCGCATTATGCGGCATAATGCTTAGCGTTGAATATTTCAACTACAGCAACGCTTCGCACAATCAAGCACTCTCAAAAGTAATGTTTTTTTCTATAAGTCGGCATTGATCGATATGTTTTATTTATATAACGTTAGTAATATTATTTACTGTAGAAATTTTTTTAAAGTTTTCGTTTCGTTGAAGTTTTTTTTAAATAATCTAAGTTAATTCAAACTGTGTTAAAAAAATATAAGTATGGATGAAGGTACAAACATTGACTTTTTTTTCAACACTGAACTTAGCGCACTCTGCTGGTGCATTTGAAAACTAATTCACGTTCCAATTAAGCATCAGCATAATTCGGCATTGTGCGGCACTGAGTCGCATTATGCTCTGTAATTGGAAAACTACCTGTGGCTTCCATGCTTTCTAACGCTCACTGAGGTGAGCCGAATGAACCACACACAACAATTATGCGTGATACGTGACATGATGTTATCATCGTCACAAAAATAGGCTTAGCAAACGATTGATCATAGTATAGTATCTATGTGGCCCGGTTGCGGTGCGGCTCTCTATAATGTGCGCGAACCTTTAGTTAGAACAGCAGAGCCTGTGATGGCAGAACTACAATTATCTGTCGTGCTGTGCAGCACCAGAGAGATATCTGTTTCATACATTTCGTATGATTAGAGCGATCACGACACACAAGTAATGTAAGAAACAGATCACGTCACAATCACAACACAACACGACAGAAAAGTATATTTCTGCCTTTGACTCTTCTTCCAGAAAATATTCGGACTTATTCATAGATGGCACTGATTTAACTTTTTATGGTCACTTCAAACTGAAAACAGTGACATCTGTGATCAATGATTCATTATTCGATCATATATGATTTAATGTTATTTTAAAGACATTTAACCAATTTATTTATCTATAATAACTACTTTTAGACATGATATATATTTTTAACTATAAGTCGTAGCACGGAACTCTAGCGCTGACCGTTCTTGTGCAGAAGTAAAAATTAAATGTCTTGGGGGGAAACGAGGTGCGCGGGTGGACGTGCGTTGCGCCGATTGGCTCTCCAGTCGTACCCATGCGCAGCTACCCCTCCGCGTTTTGTTCAGCGCTCGAGTTACTGCCGCGACCTGTACCTTATTTTCCCTAGCACACTGGCAGCAGTAACTTTGTGCTGCTGACAATGCCTTAGAATTGACCAAGTGCTGAACAATCGCTTTCAGTCTTGCTTCATCTAAATTTTCAGGTTTGGTGTTTTCCCATTTGCCATCAGGATTCATTTGTACCATGACAGGTGCCGACATATTGAGTGCATCAAACCCCGGCTTTGCTAAAGGGCTGTTCGTAAACATTATTCATTAGAAGAGTTAAAATTACCATCGTGCACTAGCAGAGAACGTTTTATTGACGGAAGTCATTAAATATTTATGAATATGTACAGCGTTTCTGTTACTGATGTTTAATATTAAGATTAGCTCTTTGGGTAACAGACTGATAGCCTATTATTATTGCACAGTATAGTTAAGGAACCTACTGTATCCAGGCAGTAACTTAGGCCAATCAATGCCAAAGGGTTTTAAGAGTAACACCCTACACATTATTGTTGCTGAATAATTAAGTATATTTTAAATATACCTACACACCTTGCCAAGACATGAAATAAAAGATATCTATTTATTGATTAACAGAATTATTCAGTCTGTTGTTTTTTATAATAACATATATATGTATTGGGCATCGGTTTGAGAATACTATTGTCATTATGTTACAAATAAAGTAACACGATAAACTTTTATTCAACTTAAAATTACCGACGGCCTTCTCTCTACGGCTATTTAGTTACCATTGGTTTATTTTTATGTCTTTGGTCAGAACGTGAGTAAAATAGGCGATTTAAAAACATCTTTGATGTAAAAAATAACAAGAAAATACTTACATGTCAGCTAATTTCGATATTAATTCTTTGTTAGCCATATTAGTCAAATGAATTTTGAACCTTTAATAATCTTTATTAAATAAGTATAAATGGTGTAGGTATTTTTTTTACTTAAAATTATGGAAGTGCAGTTACAAGAATTTTGAAATAGTTTTAACCAAAAAACAGTAGTACCTACTGATTACCACCTGACTACTTTCTCTATGTCCAAAAATGTCACCAACTGATAAGACGCAAAGAGAATTTGTTTAAAATATTTTCGTAGGCACAAAGTAAAGTAGTATGCCTTGCGCCTACGACTTTCTGCGTCTCAAAGTTAGTATTTTGAAATGCGTTCAGTCGTTTTAGCTGGAAAGAGTAACAAACATCATTATATAAAAATATACATGTAGGAACTAGGAAGGATAGATCATAGGGATAGATGGATCAATTTAGGCCATAGACATAGTTATAGGATGTATGTATAGTTTGTGTCATGGAAATAGGATTTCTATCCGAGATTTCTAAAACTTCGTTGCGTTTATTTTGCTTTGCGTCAGCTTTTTCAATAATACAAATTTCACTTGCATTGCACATTTAATTGCACTTGAAGTCCACGATTGGAACCTATTTGCGTTGAACCACGTAAATAAATCTGCCAATGTCAAGCAGATTGCATTATGTTCTTCGCATCATCATCAGCCAATGAAGGCGGAAACAGACTTTTGAAACGCGACCCGACCCGACGCCATGCTACGCGTCCCGATGCCATTCTACGTGTGTCGAGTCAAATCAAATCTACTATTTTCTATGATGGAATCCCATTAGAGGGGATCACACATAGTAGTCATTTTACTACCTGAATATTTATAAAAAAACATAGTAACATTAGACGCGACGCGATGCGCGCGCACGCTACTCCATCCCATCTATCCAGCTGAGGTCCAGTTCGACGTGTTGATGGGAAGAGTTCGAGATAATAAGTTTTTGGTCTATGGTTCCTATCATTAACTGTAGAATCGTTAATCCTTATGATGAATTTTAATGTGTCAATCCTTACCAAAGTCGGATCATAAACAATGACAATATAAAGTGATATCATTGGTCAGGAACATCAAAACCGCGAACCTTTAAGTGGAATTTCTATAGATTTAAAATATTCATATTATTAGATAGCAGAATTATCCGTGTATATTGGTATAAAAAAAATATATCTTCTGTTAAAACTTCATTGTAATTCTGCAATATTAATATATCTGCGGGTTTCCTTTCTTGCGTAAGTTTCATCTAGGTACTAATCACAAAATCATAATTAACAAGTTCATTTAACACAAGTTTTCACTTGAGTTTCTTCACTTTTCACTTACTTATAAAAAAAACATATTTATTTTGTTCACTACTTTAGTTGGCCACTCCGGACTCTAGCGTGTACGTGAATGGTTTCTGACCATTGACATAACATAAAAATTCAAGACCAAATCAATCAAAATCAAAATTCATTTTACAGTCTAGGCTGTCAGCACGTCAAGGTCATGAAATTGACTATAACATGCTCTATAGACGATTCGGAAGTGGAGAGACTGGTAATCTGTAATACAGGTCTCCTAGTACAGATGCCAGACTCTCACAACAGATATATGTATTAAGGTTAAGTTAATGATGTATTGTTATGCGAGAGAAAAAATAAAGAAATTATTATTGTTATTACTCAAATACTATCTCTGCTGCATTGCGGATCTTTAAAATAATAAATTCATGCGTGGTATTGCTTCGCGTTTCAATGGTCTGTTACCGTTACGTGCAATTAACTATATTATAATGATGCTAGCGCATCTTTTAATCGCGTTTATCAAGACGTTTGTCCCATCATTCCGTCTTCGAAAATTGTTTATAGTTAAAAACAGATAGAATTAGGCTTAAACATGATTATCTTTTCTTTTGGTTTTGACACTGATATCGATTCTGGCATTATTCTCTAAAGCTAAACTTAAATTTGACAACAGTGCATCCCTGTCATTCTCTATACAGAATGAAAAGGAAAGACTGATGTTAAATTTAGTTTTAAGTTTAGAGAATCACGCCAGAATCGATACCACTGTTGTGCAGGCCACTTCTCTTGTGGCCCTGGGTCACAGCCTGCCCTGCCTTAATTCCCGCTCTTACAACATGCAGCAAAAAGTTGGAAGTAAAAACTATTGGAATAATCTGCTCATTTTTTATTAGTTACTTTAAATATAAAAGCTATTGTACATTTATTAAATAGGTAGATATGATCAGAAGCATACGAAACATATAAATTACCACTGGGATAGTAAATCGAAATCCGTGTGTCTACTAAGTAGCCACGGTTTAGGTTTATTCAATGGTCCTCCTCCCTGTTTCAACTCTCCTTTCTTTTCTTTCTTAGTTTTCTTGCAGGAATGCCAAATGAATCTGAAAATACACGTCAAAGAACATTAGCATTAAAATAATAATGTCTCTGTGGACTTAATTTTCGAAGTTAGATTTTTTTATTAGATGTTAGAATTGTTTTCACAACGTGCAATAAGTACTTTAGTTAATGCAAGTAGGTACCAACGAACGCTAACGTGCCGTTTATTAAGCTATAAACTAAAGAAAGTTAAATAAACAAAGGCATGGACCAATATATGATTGGTCCATGACAATTTTAGCACTTCCGGTTTCCGACATAAAAATATACTTTGCTTCTATTAGTCTATGCTTCTATCTGCTTTGTCGTGACAAGTTACTCTAAGAGCACGAATATAGAGGGCGCTATCTGTTTCAAACCACTTTACCATATTAACACCATTCATGTATAGATGGCGGCACGCGTCTTCGAAAGGAATAAAATTATTGTTAACCAAATTGGGGATATGGTAAAAAACGGTATTTTACCGAGGCGTTTTGATAGTCTCTTTGTGAACAGGGCACTGGGACTCCCAGTCTGGTAATTGTAGAATGTATATAATTTCTTCGTCATCTTCAGTTTCTTTTCGTTTCTCCGCTTCGGTTTTTGCGTAGGGCTGCAAAGAGAAACGTAATGCAATGTCAACTATGCTTTAAGTATTATATTCGATAATTATGTTAAAGCTACATATTTACTAAGCCGATTAAATCATTTCAACTTATTTTATTCGCATCAATTCATTGAGAAAATTTTCGATTTAAGTCACGGTATTTTTGCATCAAATTCTAAATCAACAGAACAGTAACTGTGAAATTTGTAAGAACCTTTTCTCAAATGGGAAATAAGCTGAGGATTTCCATCTCTTCTAAAAGAATGGACCGATTTGGATGCATTTTTTTATTTCAAAAGCTGACTTTCAAATTTAATGATCCACATGCAAATTTGTCCAGGATTTTAGGAGCTACAATACCACAGACAGAAATACAGACACGTCAAACTTATAACTCCCCCACCCCCCCTTTTTCGTCGGGGGTTAAAAACTCGAGCTTTGCAATTATACCTACTTAGATATGGCTTGGCATGTGTAAATTAAAGAAGCGTTATTATGTTGTTTTCAACATGAGTAGAGCAATATCAGCAAATTGCTCATTTTAATGTTGTGTTAATAAAAAGCGTATTGCGGTTCGATCTAGATCTAACTTTACTATCGCGTATGCGATTACAAACATTGAAATTAGTATAAAGAAAATGACTTCATTCACGCGCCACTAGATGGCGTAGGCGTTACACATTTTCCATTCCATAGTAATGTAGACGTAAACCAAAACGCTACATTAATGTTATACCCGCCTTACACACTACGATAAATCGTTACGATTAGACTGTACAGTCCGAACGGTACCGATAAATCGTAGCGTGTATGTTATAAAACTGCACAGTTTCCTATACTAAACGAAATCGTATAAACTGTACCGTTCGAACTGTACAGTCTGATCGTAACGATTTCTCGTAGTGTGTATGGCGGGTATTAAATCTTAGCACAACTCGCACTCCGGCCTCTGATCCCAAAAAGTTGGCTGAGAGAATTGATATAAAACTAATAATGTCTTACGAAAACACTCGGAGCAGATATAGCCTCACTGCCGTCCAGTGTTCCGTCCAGAATCTGCTGATTTATCTTGTACTTGCGGGCCAGGTTGAAGTTCTTCACGTCCTCTTGTGTCATTGGGAAGGTGATGAGTGGACGTCTGAAATTAGAAAAAAAATGGGTGCGTGTACTTATGTAGGCGCGTGAGAAGTCTTTGGCATCGTTTAAAATTAGTTTTTAATTGCATGCAAATAATTAATTACAATAAATTAATAAAAAGTCTGGAAAAGGACACAGTCAATAAAGTTCAGTTTTAATTTGAAAAAATAAATAAATAATCAAAATATTCAATTAAAATCGCTACTGAATATAATTTATTAGAACATAATGTGATTTGCACTTGTATGAAACTCAAACACGTATTCCGAATATACAAACTAGAAACATGTGGATAAATATTATAAATATGAATACCTATAACTGTTACTTTTTTACAAAAAATAAAGATGTGGTTTTTGGTTCTACTACACCAATGGTCAAGAGATGGCGCTGTAGTCTCCTGAATCGCGCTTTGGTTCCGTTGTTCCAGGTTAATAAATACTTTTGATAGGCCTTCACAATGCAGTCGTTAGCACCCACTAAATAGAGATTCTATTTCTATTTTGTTTGATTAGTAGATTTGGTATAAAGCGACCAACTTCATGCTGTTAAAATTTTGTGTTACAGTGATGCGCGCGCATCTTAAAATTTCACTTTCATCATTTTTTCATAACGCGCCTAAAGAAGTATAACTTCAAAAAAAAGTTCTCAGTAACGTACACTGTTTGAAGCAAGTTTCCTTACCTTCATTAGTAATGTAACCTTTTTCATGACACTAATCTTAGTACATACCTATGTAAGTTGGAGACATAATAATATAGTCGCATAAAAAGACATGTATACAAATTATTTACGTTACGGGAATCAAAATCTCGAATGGCAAATCCTATTGCTATTTGTAACTAGTGTTTATCTTTTCTCGACAAAAAAAACTGCAGCGAATAATGAACCTAAGCAATTAGGTACCTATTCTTTGAATGTTTAAATGTTGTAGTAATGGCTTTGTACTGTTGCTGATAATTTACTCAACGGCCTTTCTGCTGTCTTCTAGAGAAAATGCAAGCTCCGGTTGATACACACGGTTCCCAACTTAGGGGTTTTGCCCCCAGATTTAGGGGCTAGAAGTTTCAAAACGGATTTTTTAAGGGCTGGAATTTTTTGGGGACTCTTTTAGGGGCTTTTATCAAAACTTGCAATTAAATCGAAATCGAATGTGTTTTCTTTCAGGTTTGTGCGTAGAATGGAACGCACCACGATTTGAAACGGCTGAACTGACTGTGTGGCGGGTTGTTTCCTAAGGGTGCGGCCAGAGTCCACTCAGATTCAGATTCAGATTCTGAAAACAAGCGCGAGAAATAAACAGTGTAGTCTAAGCAGGTTGCCTGCTTTTTCTCGCGCTTTGTTTTCTGAGTCTGAATCTGAATCTGAATCAGGAGTGCACTCTGGCCGTACCCTTCGACTACACTGTTTATTTCTCGCGCTTGTTTTCAGAATCTGAATCTGAATCTGAATCTGAGTGCACTCTGGCCGCACCCTAAGGCTGTATGGACTTAAGTCAAAAAACAGCTAATTAAGATTTAACCGCCTGTCAGCTCATTTTCGTTTGATTTTCCTTCCGAAAACTGTATTTAGTCAATAAAATAATTTACCTATTGTAACTAAATATGTAACGTTTTAATTAATGAGCAACGAAAGAATTTGGGTAATAAGTTGGTACTTAAAAAAATGTATATTTAGGGGATTTTAGGGGAATCTACAAAATGCTTAGGGGTAAATTTTGGTAAGGGTTGGTAACACTGTTGATACAACGTGTTGTAATCATTAAGCTAACGAAATCTCCTCCAACCTGAACGGGTCGAGGTATAAAGCGCGTTGTGGCAGCTTGAAGTTCTTTCTTATGTATTCCTCGTCCAGCAGCTGAAGGCCGGCGGTGGCGTCCATGGCGGAGGTAGCGCGTGGCTTTCCGGTGGCGGCGGCACCCGGGCGGCCAGCGCGGGGCTCCTCCCGCGGCACTAGGCAGATCAGAGGTAAGCTCGACTTGCCACCGCTTGTGGCGGAACAAGGGCAGCACCTGGGGACAACACAGAACTCATTATAAGTTTCTTATTGGAGTTTACTCCTTAAGAATCGATTTGCATATATCAGGGGCCCTGTATGAGTATAATGTGAGGAGTAAAATCTATCGATGAATGACCTCGTTACGTTTTTGGTGCGCATCCTATGTCGCGCAACTTTCTAATTTGGTTGTGAGTGTAGGGTATAGGTAGACGTGCATAGGGTATACTGCAAAGCGACTGTACCTATATGTTATTGGGTTTGTTTATTTCTATCAGTGTCGACATACTTATATTGCTGTTTTTATTATAAATATCAATAATTAATATTGTTATTAATTTACCCTTTCATACAGTATCAATCTTTTTTAAGTTAAATTAACTCTTTTTGCGTCTGGTTAGACTATCGAACTTAAGGAGTAAACTCCAGTCGTGCGGCGGAGCTGACACACACATTTTTTTTTCTGCCTTGTTTCCATAACCACCAGTAGAAAAGAAAATTAATACTCTTGTATCTTAGCTACAATGTTCAGGTCTTATAAACATATCTTTAACTGAACTTTCATTATTTAAACCTGGTACTTCCAGGGCCCAAGAGGTGATATGTAAGGGTAGAAAAGGTCCCTGATGTTTTTTTCTGGCGCATCGCCTGCCGCTACCGCGGCACGCCTCCTTCGCTCGCTCGGCTCGCGCGTTATGGTCACAACACTAACCTAACCTAACCTAGTCTGAAGTATCACCACTTGGGCCCTGGAAGTGCAGTTTAGCCTTTTTAAGTGACGTGGTCACAAGAACTGTCTTGTTATTACAGAACATATCAATGGGAGAATGTTATATTCAGACTTCACGGACCCCCTGAAAGTCAAGAACCTAGATGAATATAAATCGAAGTCTGTGTGCAATAGCGATCCAATGAAAATTGGTGTACAAACCACTCAAAACTCACTTGTCAATGGTCAACAGTTTATAGCGAATTTAATTTTTTTGGTCGAGAATTTTAGGATATTTAAATTCGTCATCAGCTAACCTTACTATTCATGCCCCACTAGAGGTCGCCCGCGACTTCGTCTGCGTTAACTTAGTTTCTTTGTAAATCCCTCTGGAACCTAACATTTTTTCGGGATAAAAGTAGCCTATGTGTTAATCTAGGGTGTCAGCTAACTCCATACCAAATTTTATTAAAATCGCTCCAGCCGTTTAGACGTGAAGAAGTAACAAACATACACACTCACAAACTTTCGCCTTTATAATATTAGTGTGATTGTCATGTTCTGTAATGTGATATGCTGTACAGATGAAGCCAACAAACAATCGAAACGTGCTTTCCGAAGCAAGTGAGTCTCGATATTTTTGGTCACCAATCCTTCTTTCGGCGACTGTGAAAGCGGCTTACGTGCCTAATCAATGCGACAGAAACTAGTGAGAACAATAAGAAAAGAAAAAAAACACTTACTTTGCCATTTTCGATTTGCAAGTGAGGTTATTTCTGCTAATTGGAAATTTGCATATTAATCTATATGAGCATTTTTTCGTATTTTTTTACATTAATATTAGATTTTTTTTTGATAATTTTTCAATGAAACGTCAGACCTATTCTAAATCTGACGTTTCACTGTTTTGTTTCCGTCCTTATACGTCAACTGGCCGACTGCGACTGCCATTTCTGAGCGAGAAATTGTTTTTAATATTTTTATGAAGTATTTACAACAAAGTTTTTAATAGGTTTTGATAAATCTAAAGAAAAGTTTTACTAGAAAAAAATCCCCGCCGACCAGGCAGCGGACTGGACTCGAACCTGCACCCTTAGCAATCCGGGCGAATGCACTGACCAATTATGTTACCACAGCCCCGATGGCTGCGTCGAAATTTTCCTAGCCTTAAGCTGCAAGGCAGCGCCATCTCTTCGCATTGTAGGTAACCCACAATGTCAAATGAATACTTGTTCAAGTATTAAATATTTTAAAGAAGAAATAGCAATTATAGTTATGTTTTTTTTAAACATTTAACTGCTAGATTTTTAAATTTAAAGAAAAGTTTTTCTAGAAAAAAAAATCCACGCAGACCAGGCAGCGGACGGGACTCGAACCCGCACCCTTCGCAATCCGCATAGTAAAACTTTCTTTAGATTTAAACATCTAGCAGTTAAATGCTTAAAAAAAACATAAGGTTTTGATAAGTTTATTATTTTAATCAATCGATGCAGGTCCATTAAGTTTAAGTAGATGTTATTATTACTTCTTTTTTCTAGTGCCTCCGAACAGCGAAGGTTGGCAGTCAGCTCAGCATACGTCTACTTATCTTCAGCGAAATGGAATAATTCAGCGTCGCTCGAGATTCCAGTCCATTCTCGTAGGTTCCTCAACCTGGTGAGGAACCGGCTCCGGTGCCGCAACAAGGCTCCAAAGGTGATGGCGATCGCCTTGGGCCCCCTGGGGGAGCGATTCCGCGCGGTCGCTTACCCAGGCGCTGGAGAGTGGGACGGCTCTGTCTGCTCCGGAAGCAGGGGCGGCCCGGCGGACTCTCCAGCGTGCTATCGGCCCAAGGGCGGATTTACCCTGGGCAGGGTACAGATGGACCAAACCCAGGGGGATTTTATTTAAGTACTTTCAATATTTAATATACCACGACTATATGACCCCTCCTGGCGCCAAAGCTGGCTATATGACCCCCCCTGGCGCCAAAGCTGGCTATATGACCCCCCTGGCGCCAAAGCTGGCTATATGACTCCCCCCTGGCGTCAAAGCTGGCTATATGACCCCCTGGCGCCAAAGCTGGCTATATGACCCCCCTGGTGCCAAAGCTGGCTATATGACACCCCCCTGGCGTCAAAGCTGGCTATATGACCCCCCTGGCGCCAAAGCTGGCTATATGACCCCCCTGGTGCCAAAGCTGGCTATATGACCCCCCCTGGCGCCAAAGCTGGTTATATGACCCCCCCCTGGCGCCAAAGCTGGGTCCGCCCTTGTATCGGCCGTAGGGTTGCCAACTCCCGAAAAGACCAATCCGAGAGAATTGTGTGTTTAAGAAATTAATATGGGTAAAATCATAAAAGTTTTTACATGAAAAATCGAATCGTTTGTTAGTACTTGTAACTCTGCTTTTACTAAAGAAATACTCATTCTACTTTTTTTTTCTCAAATTACTTATTAGGTACCTCCCGTTAGCGCAACACGCATTTTACTGAATGATTTATCTAATTAGACTGAGCACGAGAACAAGAGACAAACGTACGACATACTCGGCAAGCCGCGGAAGGAAGTATCGCGTCGGCGATACGAACGAGGCGAGTTGTGGCCGCACAGCGCGTAAATAGCGATGGCTGCATTTAATTTTTAGAAAATCTAAATTAGGTTAACTATTATTACCGGAGTCTCCCGGGCAATCCGGGAGGGTTTAGAACCCTAATCGGCCGGTGGTGTTACTCGATGAGGCCGGGCCGGGAAGGCTTTTGAGAAGATTCTCGCCTCCCGGATCATCGAGCACATTGAGGGCGAGGGGCCGGACCTGGCGGATTGCGAGTACGGCTTCCGCACCGGCCGGTCCACGATGGACCTTAGATTAAAACAAAAAGGGTAGATACGGCACTAACCTCACAAAAGTGATCCGCACCAATTGTGGTCCACGACCCTAATCGCTTTAGTTACAACTTGACATGCAAACGACGTACATGTGAACGCCAAAATGAAATATTGCTTATTTTGTGTTTATATGATAAAACAATGCCTAAGTGTGTTTTTAAAAAGTGCTCAAATTGCTCAAGAACTAAAAATAAAACCCACGGCATCACTTTTCATTCGTAAGTACTATAAAATATATTTTTTCATAAAAATTGCTGTTTGTTTTAAACCATAATCGGTAGTGACGTCGAGTACTGGTCGCGTGATTGGTCGGTAGTGCAGTGACGTGGATCTCGCCGCCTCGTTCGCGCTGCCGTTGAAACTTAACGTGCTGTTTCGCTCGGGTCGGTAATGCAGTGACGCGGATCTCGCCGTCCCGTTCGCGCTGCGGTGGGATAAGTTTTTGTTTGATGTAAGTATGAGCGTACCGTATCTATCTACCCTTTTTGTTTTAATATAAGCGATGGACGCGGTGAGTCACCACAAAAGGTGGACTGAGGTGGCCACAGCTAGTGGGGAGATGGTGGTCGCGGTTTCCTTGGACATCGCTAATATGATGTACTAAAATCTTTCCGGGGTAAATGTATCCTGTGTCTCAACCAGGTAAACCTATTACTATTAGTGTCCACGATTTCGTCCAAAATCCTTTCAGCCGCTTTTGCGTGAATAAACATACAAACATTCGTATTTATAATATTACTTAGTATTGTATTGACGTTGTAACAACATAATGATTTGTAAATGTTGTTACATTATTCTTTTAATGTTGTGGAGTTTTTTTCGCTCGTTTTTCTCCGCAGCTAAAAAATATGTCCAATAACGAGTGGTAGGGAAAAAAATGTTTGGACGATTCAAAAGTGTTGTACTATACATCCAATTTGAATAAAGATATATTGATTTCTGATTACTGATTTCTAGTAGGGTTCACGTCTACTTCTACATTCACGGAAAGAGTTCTTGTTCTTAGGTGTGTGTGCTGTGGCTCCCACGAAGATATGTTCATGCACCATCCCACAAAAAAATAATTCTTTTTTAAACTCTACTTAATTTGACATTTCGTACGTGTAGTTAGAAGCAACCAGTACCGAATTTAGAGGTAAATCTGGGCTGGACTGTTTACTATTTTTTTCTAATACTAGCAAACCAGTGAACCAAATGTTCACCAAAACCTGATTTCTCGAAAACCGGAAGTGCTACGTTACTCGAATCCGGTTTGTAGTCTTATCAGACTATTCTTAACTTATAACTTAAATATTCTCTTTATCTATCTCTTACGGTTTGGCCGCTGAAACAGCACCACGGACAGACGGACTCGTCTAATAGATAAGAGATATTTACTTATGTATCGGAAATTATTGTATCAAATAGAGAATTTGTATTTGTACCCCCCCACCCCCTCCCCCCTTGGTTTGGTGACCCGTTCGATTTTTTTTTTATTTCCGATTTTTTTTTATCTCTGCTGTCTCGCTCTGGGGCTCCTGGGTATAGCCTGCTCTGCTTAAAAACCAGCCCTGGTCGCAATGCAAATAAATTCTGCTTGAAAATGCGTAAGAATGAGTGCGTAAAAGAGACGCTTTTGATCTGTCTGAATCATAATCATAATAATCATAATCAAAATCATTTATTCAGTTTAGGCTGTTACAAGCACTCATGAATGTCTAGAAGCTACGCCCTCGGTTCGTAAATCTACGGCGGGAGACCTTGTACTGAGAAGAACCGGCAAGAAACTCAGCAAGGGCTGTTTTTTTCTCCCTGTTTTATTATTTACAGAGTCGTCAAATTGAAAAATGACTTCAGAGGTGATTCATGAAGTCACTTTTCATTACATAATTATTAAATATGCATTTTGATTGCTGTGTCATACAGTATAAATACAAATAGTGTTATTCATATTAAGTGTGACTAAACATTAACTTCAATATTAAGCGGTTCAATACTGAGCGGTATGTCTTAATAGATCATTTCTAAAAGCAGAAATATTTTGATGTCGTACGTATTCAAAGAACATAATTATATCTTGCACCCATTCTTCTTAACAGCTAAAAGATATTGGACAATTCAAAACAGCTTTCAATAAGTCGATATGAATTATGTTAATATAATAAATGTGAAAGTTTGTATGTCTGTTACTCAATCACTCAAAAACTACTGAAACGATTTGGATGAAATTTTGTATGCATAAAGTTTATGACCTGGATTCATCATCATCATCAGCCTATTAATGTCCCCACTGCTGGGGCACAGGCCTTCCCTATGGATGGAAAAGGGAGATTGGGCCATGACCCACCACGCGGGCCCTATGCAGCCGGGACCAACGGCTTAACGTGCCTTCCGAAGCACGGAGGAGCTCGAGATAGTAATTTTTGGTCACCCATCCAATGACCGACCACCGCGAAAGTTGCTTAAGTTCAACGATCGCAGCCAAATGCGCTAACCTCTTACGCCATCGAGCTCCTCTGACCTGGATTGATACAAAGGATACTTTTAATGCCGGAAAAATGACAAGTTCCTGTATGATTCTGAAAAAACAGTAAAGTTTAAATCTAAAGAAAAGTTTACTAAAAAAAAATCCACACGCACCAGGCAGCGGACGGGACTCGAACCCGCATCCTTCGCAATCCGGGCGAATGCACTGACCATTATGCTACCACGGCCCTATTAGCCGCGTCGAAATTTTCCTAGCCTTAAGCTGCAAGACAGCGCCATCTCTTCGCATTGTAGATAACCCACAGGCTAGGAAAATTTCGACGCGGCTAATAGGGCCGTGGTAGCATAATGGTCAGTGCATTCGCCCGGATTGCGAAGGATGCGGGTTCGAGTCCCGTCCGCTGCCTGGTCCGTGTGGATAATTTTTCTAGTAAACTTTTCTTTAGATTTAAACATCTAGCAGTTAAATGCTTAAAAATAAAATAAAATCGACAGCCTGCGGCCGCTAATAGTAGATTATTAACCAAGGGGATAAAGCAGTGTCTGCCGTCGCGGATGACGATTTAAATCGCGAGCGTAACGAAGGACTCGAGGTTTACTCC